CCGAGATTCTTCCAGCAGCCAAGGAGCCGATTAAGGAATGCAAGTTGATTATGCCCATTAGTACTTCCACCTGAGTCTCGCTGATTTTGAGTTCTCTCTGAATGTAGATCACAGCTCCACTCATCACCCCAGTGTCTAAATTCCAAAATTCATAAACAAACCCAAAAAAAAAAAAAAAAAAAAAAAAAAAATTTGTGAAACATGATGTCGGCCGAAATCCACAATTCCTTCTTGGAGATTTAAATTCACATGGATATAAGTTAAAAGAAAATTTATAAATTATGTAGCGTGAATATCTTTACTCGTTGTTTTAACATACTTTTCTAGTGTCATCTAAACAATAATATTCGCGAAACAAATAGATGATGAATGGAAAGAGAAAAATGTAAGCCTAACAAAAAATTAAACAGAGGACTAAATTACCATAACCGTTCAAAATGGAAGTCATGCAAGCGAATATGGAGCAAGCAATGGCCAGTTTGTTTCCCTTTAGTTTTTTTGCAGGTTCAAAATCTGCAACGCCGGAAACTCCGTGGTGGTGAGGTTCGGCCATTATCTCTGTTTTCTGGTTGCAGAATAAACGCAGAGAATTAAGAAGAATTTGGGGCGTTATGGATGTTAGTTTAAAGAAGAGAGAGAGGAGGATTAAATTCTATTGGCACTGCAGACATGAATTAAGCATAAGATGGGATTGAGGACATATGTAGAGATAGCTTAAGAACAGAACGGGGTGTTACATCAGCCAGAGTGGATCACGATATTACCCACAAAAGAGAATCAGAAGACCAAAAAAGTGGATCACGATGTTTCCTGATATGGTATTTAGCTTACCTGTCCTTAACATATACGTAATTCCATTATATTTTTTTTATTTACTCTCAACGGATATTTAGATAAGTTTTTTCCTTTTTCGGCTGATTTTAAAAATGTTATCCTTATCTGTACGTTGTATTTAAAAAAAATTAAACTTATAATTTAAAATTTAAATTTGATTTATAAAATCTCATTTAATTATCAATAAATTCGATCATAAATTTAAGAAATCAGTGCTTATCTACTTTTCTTATTAAAAATTAAGAAAAAAAATATTTAGGTCAGTTTTTTCCTTTTTCGGCTGAT